CCCACTAACAGGCAGTAAATCCCCAGTGTTTCCCGACTTGGCTGGGCCCCCGGTTACCCCAGAGTCCAGAATACTGGGCCAGCGGTGCTCCGAGCAAGCGAGCGAGCGAGCTGCCAGGGCCCGAGGTTGCATACTCACTCACCTACTAGTATCGCCGAAACCCATTCACCCGACATCGTCATCGCGCATGCTTCGCACGTACAGTACCTATTTATTGATAGGTAGGTAGGTCCACGCGCATGTTAGGTAAGACACCTTATGTATGGTTATCTATGAATATATGCGCGACAGTTAGTCCGTCCCATCAGATAGATAAGCTTCAAATTGGTTTTTGACTGGTTGCCTTTGGGCCGAACTCGGTTATTGAGGCACTCGACCGCTGCCTACGAGATGATCTTCCACTTCTCCTGGGTTAACTAGCGCAAACAAGGTATGGATGGCTATCTATTGAACATCGTCGGCCCCAGATGGCGGTGGCCCGGGCCTAGGGCTCCCGGTTCCTGCCCGGCAGAACAGAAGACGGTACATACACTTCCAGCTTGACACGTACATAGGGGCGCTAATTATCACATACTATAAACCTGGGAACGAATCACAGATGTTTCGATTACCAGTTTCATTTGCAGATTACGCTTTGAACATGATGTGGCTTCCTTTCATCTCCCACTCTACCACCTAACTCAACTTAACTTAACTAAATACTAAGAAGTAAGCGCAGCCACGGCCGCGGCCAGGCCGCATCATTGACTCCGATTCCAGCTCCAACTCCGAAGCCGAAGCCGACTCTTGACTCGACTCTGATCCTCATCCAACGAGTCCAAGCCTCAAGCACCGATGGCCTGCGCATCTGATAAATCCTTCTGCAAGGTGCAACCTCTCGACCCTGAGCTAGCCTATAGCCTAGCCTGGCCTGGGTGTAATCGTATGCTTGCTCCTATGCTCTTATGCTGCTCTGAAAAAAAAAGGCAGCAATCTGAATCTGAATCGAAATTGGTCGGGACCTACCTGCTCACCAATGTACCGTATAGCATAGCAAACAAAAACCAGTCGATCCGATTGATGGTATATTCCCCTAAGTACTCCAAACGCCAGGTACAGTGAGCCCAAATGTCCCAGATTGATTGTTGTTGGGGGCTGCCCCGTGCGGGAGCAAACACCCGTTGTGATAGTCGCATCGACGCCCTCGATTCGCGCCCCTGTGATTATGGGCGGGGCGAAGCGGGCGGAGGCATATAGTGCCCTGATGTGCGCGTGCTGGTAGCGCGATACATCGTGGTCTTGCTCAACTCAGTCGGTCTTCCAGTGAGTTGACACGCCATCTGCATCTTCCTTCCCAAGATACAGCTCAATGGCGTAGAGACTCATGGTTGCGGCGACATTGATCCACCGCCACGTATTACCTCCAGCATCGCCATCGCGCAAAGTCCAGCCCTCGTTGTCGCTCGCCGAGAAGTGCTGCAATAACAGACTAGTGTAGACGGCAATCAGAATAGATGGCGAAAACCAGGAGAGTATGCCCAGTAGTTTGTTCGCCTCCTCCGAGTCATCTAGGATCGAGTCGTCCATCAGGGCTTGGGCGCCAGCTTCCCTGACGGCAGGGATGATACGGGTCGCGCAGTAGAAAACGATTATTCGGTAGACCAGAGAGATCATGACTGAGGGCGCAATGGTCTGAAATGCGGCGTGGAGAAAGCTGAGGGAGGAGTAGACGGCCGATGGTAGAGAGCCGAGCAGGTGGACGAAGGTCGAGTAGCTCGCCATGATGATGGGCGGCAGAGGGGGGAAATCGGGCTGGTTGGCCGTCTCCTCGGCAGCAGCGGCTTGGGCCTCAGGCGACTGGACGTAATCGGTGAAGATCTGGTAGACGCAGAGGACGACGTAGGCGAAAAGCAGCGACGACTCGACGGGATTTCCACGACCTGTACCGATGCCAATGGCGCAGAGGAAGACAGCAGAGGTGACGGTGACGCCGATAAGGGTCGCATCGATGTTGCCGACGGAGGGGAAGAGGGCTACTCTCCAGAGGAAGTAGACGGCGCTCGCGATGATGGAAGCGGACAGGATCAGGAGGAGGAGCTAGCATTACTGGTCAGCAAAAGTTCTCTTAAAATCTGTCATGTTAGCACAATGACTATAATGCAATGTACTTACAACCCAGGTATCGCTTCGTCCGCGGTTCACAAGCCATCTAGAGATCTGGCCAGCGGCCTGGATTACGAGCAGGGTGCAGAATCCCTCAGCCATCTGGAAGATGGGGCTCGAGTAGCTCAAAGTCTTGTCCCAACCGCCGAGAGTGACAGCTTCAACGAAGCCGCCATTTCCGAAGAACCATTCGGTCCAGGTGCTGTGGTGGCGATGGCCCAGGCCACCGATGGTCCTCGACACCCAGTCGGTGCTGCTCGCGTCGACGGCGAAATTGTGCAGGGACCAGATGAGGAGGGACGGTACCACAACCCACTGCGAGGTCTGCAGGGCTTTCGTGAAGGTCCAGCGCACACGCGAGCGTTCGGGGGTGGCGAGCTTAGCAGCGCTGTAGACGAAGTAGAAGCCGAACAGCGCGAGGCTGTAGGCGAGGCCGGTGTCGCGTCCACCTACATCGAAGGAGATGGGGATGGAGAGAACGATCGTCAGCAGGAAGACGGAACTCGAGATGATGCGGAAGAACCACCACATGGGCGCGGTGATGGTGGCTGGTGCCGCGCCGAGGGAACGAGGCGGCTGGCCAGGTTGGTAGGATGTCGGTATGAGATGCGGCGGTCGGTCTACTGGATGCGGGCACGCGAGTAGCGTAGCTCTGCGAGTTCTGCAGGGCTCGATGCGGGAATACGAGATCAGAGGTCGTAGGTCGTAGGTCGTGATTCGCAGTCGGCGGAGCGGCAACGGCAAAGGAGCGCAAGGACTGACTTGGGTGAGGCGTTGGAACACACGCGTCGAGGGTCGAAGGTCGAGGGTCGAGCACGATGATGGCGATGGTGATGATGTGTTCGCAGGTCAGGTTGCACTTGAGGTGGGTACGTGGGCACACATGCACACAGGCAATCTCGGTGACTGGCGCGGATGCGGATGGTGACGGCCGTATCGGTAGATTAGGTAAAGTAGTCGAGTCGAGGTCGACGAGGGTGGTGCCGGATGGCCAAACTGGCGATAAGATAGAGATTGGGTTGATAGGATCGGGGGTTGATGAAATAATAGTTAGTTGTGGTGCAAGGCTCGCTCAAGCTGGGGGTGGAGAGATCAAGGTAGGGAAGTTAGGTCGGGGGATCTTCAAGGGAGCGATAGGCTAGGTAGGCGAGGTAGGTACGTCTCGGGGTCCTCATGCAGCTCCCAACGGCAGTGTTGAACTTAGATGGAGGGAAGGAGGCAGAATTCAAGGAGGTATGGGATGGCAGCTTCCTCAGTTGGGCAAGTCATGAGGTTCAAGTGACATCTACAGTGACACACACAATCGCGCTAGCACCTACCTCGAAAACAAGGCACAGCACACCAATATTTTACCTGGACCTCACTTGCTTGCAATGGATAATGGATGTTGCCAGGTGGCCAATAGCTGGCTTTACCCGGAGATAGTGCTGAAAGAATGCTTGGCATCTTCTGATGGCTAACCTAGACTTGCACCACTGCTCTTGCTGGCAGCTGGCAGCTTGAGAAAAGACCCCCAGCAATCAATTCCTTGGGAATACCCCCAAACGATCGGTAATAGTCAAAAAGAATATGCAAATGGGGAAATCTGAAGCGTGATTTATTTTGCATGTGCTTGTGGCGCTGGCGAGGGCAAGAACCATGAGTCTGTGACCTGCCTAGCGGACTAGCTCCCTGCAGCCACCCAAGATAGACAGCAGCCGGTGGATCTGATAGTTCCTCGACTTGCCTTATCAATCGCTGTTCGTGCATCATTAAGCCTGTGTCTATATAACTGACAAGCAACTGACCCCCCCATTCCTTCATCAGCTGCCCCTCCAAGCTGCCCCGCCAGCTCCTGAAGCTCTCTCATGGCTATCCGAGGCATGATCCATTCAGCTATTATAGTCCTACATAGATAACTCTATTGTCATTGAAACAGCACTTGCTAAGAGCTTTCATGTGTAAACCGACGTCATAAGCCAGATAAAAGCAAGCCAATGCATCACTGGTTATTACATGTACACCAACTATACCCAAGTGTGGCGGAGAATACTAAGATAGCTCACATGCCATTTTAGAAGAAACGGTGCAATAGCAGAGGGGTACCGTACTTCGCATGTGGGATGACCAGGGGTATATTGCTCTCTTTAAGCCACATCCCGTCGTTCGAGATTGAGTCGAGTCTAAGCATCAATGAGATTTTCAGATCAGATCAGATCTTCATATGCTTATAAGCTAGCTATGATCTGGAGAAGCAGTCAAGTCTTCGAGAAGGCACATTTTCTAAGCTTGATTGCTTGATCGCTTGCTTGAGAGTACAAATCAACAGCAGCGACTTCGTTTGTAAATATCTATAGGTTACGCTAGGCGCAAGAGCTACTCGGTGTTACCACCGAGCCGTTCGTCTTGTCTGCGTCTTGACCGCCAAAATACCCTACTACCCATGCACCGCCATGACTAGCAGCAACATCGTCATTTCCGGTGTAAAAAATTAGATTCGATAGAACAGTATGGGGGAAAATCTGGGCGACGTCATAATTCCTGGTGATCGGAAAGCCACAAATGGTTGCATCGTGAAGCTTAGGGAACAATGTGCAGCATCATAGTTAAGCCACACGAAACCCACCCAAATTACTAAGCATCAAACCAACCTATATGAACATTACCTGTAATTAAACAGGTATAAAGAGACCCGAATTATCGTCCTTGGGAGTTTGAATAGCAGGGAAATGTTAGATATACAGCTTTCTATAATTATTAGGATAATATTCTCTTTGTTCCAGATCTAGATCTAAACACCTAGATTGAAAGAATTTGTAAGCATATATATAATACAAGTAGATAATTAGTTCAGCATAACAATTGCTATGACTTTCTAGGGCTCAATGGTCTAGTGGTATGATTCCTGCTTCGGGCAACACCCTTGGCACCCTTCCATCTTACGTGGGAATGCAGGAGGCCCCGGGTTCGAATCCCGGTTGAGCCCGATTTTTTTGTTTTTCTCTTATCTCTTTTCCTTACCATCTATCTCCCTCTAAGCCTCTCATGACATTCCTCCCTCCTTCCTCCTATCTCTTATCTATTTTGCCAATATTCATCCCATCTCAGAGACCGGCAGATGGACGCGCTAAGCTTTGAGTCGGTTACACGTGCGCCTTGGCGTTTGTTCACGTTTGTTGGAACATTTAGGGTTTAGCCGCCGCTTTGACAGGACAAGACAATGACGTGCCCAGGTGAAACATGCATTGAATTACGTACGTCGACAGCTAGATAACGTTCGCGAGATGTGGGAGGTGGGATCCCGTCTGTGCGTAAAAGTGCTTGTACTAATGCTTAATCTCAAACCAGTGTTACACCCAATGCTTGAGTTGAGCACCGCCAAGTCAAGGTCTATATGGCCTCAATGCTATAAGGCCGAGTCGACTATACTATGGTGTAGGTAGGTATGTACGGAGGTACATACATACATACAACATAGCCCCTTATCATGAGAAGGCATACTTGGTATATGGACGCGTGGACAGGCGTCGTCATGTTATGATATTGAGCGTTTGGGCAAAAGTGCCTTGAGATGAGTGCTTGCGTAAGTAAGTAAGTATAGTATATAGTAGATCTTCAATTATGACCTATTATTCCTTGAATAGGATCGGACGTAATTCATCAGCTTACTGGGAATACAGACGATAGGAAGGCTCTCACTAAATGAGGCGCCGTGAGGGCATTGGCCGAAAACGCGCAGTGCTCGTGATGGGCTGTCTACCGAGAAGTGATTCTCCCATGGCAGTCAATCCATTGAGAGCTGTAGCCAGGTAGCTAAGCTACCATACACTCTTCAGCCCATCTACCCCTACAGGGGCCTCACCTAGCGTCGTGATCCTGAATCCATGCCGGAGGCCCTCTGCCTCCTGCCGCACGTCGTAGTCAGAAATGGCAGTGTGGGCGGTGACTCTGTTGTCCCATAACGCCACGGTCTGGTCGTCCCATTTCACGCGGACCTGGAGGTCTTGGCTGTTGGATATGTGCTGGGCGGCCGATGTTAGTCGATATGAGCTAGTTATGGCGATAAGGAAGAGAGGCATGTGATTTGCTCTCAAGTGCAAAGGAGTGAGTATAGGGGCCTTTACCTGGTATAGGAGTTGCAGTATCGCATCAGACTCTTCCCTCTTGAGACCGACGATGCGCTTCGTGAATCCCGGGTTGACGTATAGGGCTTTCTCTCCGGTTACCTGTCACACCACAACATCAGCAATCAACTAGTCTCTTCATCTTCGCTCCCTCTTTCCCCCTCCCCTTATCTCGAGAACGACAGGTTCGCAAACACATACCGGATGCACGCGCACAATCGGATGCTCCGACCTCACCGGCTCCCTCCTGACAAACTTCTCCGTGCTCCTCGCATGCTCAGCCTGCGGGAAGCCACTGTGCTCGGCGCGCAGGCCCTCGAGAAGCCTCTTGATGGGCTCGGACAGGCGCTCGTACGCGGCGACCTGCGACACCCAGGCCGTGTCGCCGCCTGTTTCAGGTACGGCCAGCAGTGTTAGCAGCGTGATGCCCGGCGGCTGGTGCTCGTATGAGACGTCCGAGTGGTAGCCGACGGTGGTCAGCGAGTTGGACTTGAATTGCAGCCGGTAGAGGTTGTCGGGCCCCAGGTAGATGTTGTGGAACTCGAGGGCGCCTTCGACGTGGGCGCCTGTGGGCTAAGGTGCGAGAGGGTGTTAGTATGGGTGAGTGTAAGAGTCTCTTTTTTCCTTTCTTCCTTAACCCCATTTTCCGAGAGAGAGGGGGGAGATGACGCGTTGTGTGTAATGAGACTTACATGAATATGCAGCCGTCCAAAGTACCGCCCGAAATCCTTCTGCTTCTCGACCCCGATGTCCTTGAAGTCCTGGCCCCTGAATATCACGACGCCGCGCTCGGCAATCAGCAGTGCGAGCTCGTTCTTTTGCACGTCACTGAGTGCCGACAGCTGGAGACCGCTTATCTCTGTGCCGATGCGAGGCGTGAGCTTCGTGATCTTCACGTCTGGGTCGTCGAGGCCCAGTAAGTGTGGTTTTGCTTTGTCGGCGGCTAGGCCGCGGTCAGTGAACTCGAACGGCTCGGTGGGTGGGAATTTGGTCTCCTCGTCGTATACGGGGAGGTAGTTGGTGTATGCATACTATCGCTAAGTGTCAGTATGTTTTCCGGTATCTTATCCCTGATTGATGGGGACGAAATGCTAATTTAACTTACTTTAGCATGTTGCTTTGCGTCGAATGCTCGGTTGAGCTTCTGTTTTGCGATGTCGCTGAGCTCGGCGACGCTTGGGACGATTTCTGCGACTGACGGTGCCATGATGGGTTGTTAAAGGGCGAATCTCTTGGAAGCAAATTCAATCCAGCTTCAACGAAGTCCACTCGAAACCTACTTCATGTATGAAGCTTTTTATAAGTATTTTTATGTCCTTGTTTAAGCTTCGATAATCATCGCGATGATGTCGTTGCTGAACCCCGCACATTGCTCATTGTAAACCCCAATGATGCCATGTTAGCAGCGCAAATGCGCTTTAGATATGAGCTATTCCAACCAAGCTTCAGAGCTGTCTCCAAATCCTTTGGGTGCCCATGAACGGCCGGTCATTCGTCGACACTGCGAACAGGCAAGATATCCTTGGTAGCTCGCCATCAAGGGCGTGTCTCATTCGCAAACACTAGTAGAAGTGACGATATCTAGATCAGGGGTGAGGTGATCGCGGGATAACGGAAGTTCTACTATATTTCGTTACTATTTGACACGACAAACATTCTTCCTCGTGTAAAACTAAGTCGACAGATTGTGCATGCCGATTTCTTACTGTCAAGCAATTCCACCTCAATTATCACAATTCAAATATGAATACAATCAATCGATTTTTCTGGTGATTAGCTGTATAACTTGCAGGTGGTGAACTAGATCAATATCGGCTCAATAGGTTCTCTGCCTCTACTCCTTTTCTTTCCTGACATAGATAGATAGATAGATAGATCAATGATTCGTCTCAACTTGAGATGCACCCCCTGTCTCACGAGCGAACACTCTCAAGTAACCAGAGAGCCTAGAACATCATTCCATAGCAAGGGCCCATGGTCTGTCGATTGACTAAGCGCGCCGGATTAGCAACCGACTGATCCGGACCGGATCGTGGTCTGTATCATAGAGTGCAAGGAGGACTGCCGAATATACAGATTTAGACAAGGGCCAGTCTTGGTATCGTTCGAACACCCCAACTTGAGGTTTGGATGAGTTCGTTCTCATAGATTGAGGCTTCGAGTGCTGCAGCATATGCACCTCCAGACGCAACTGGCAGTCAAGCGCGGGCCAAGCCAATGGTCTCAGGGCAGCCATGTCAAGCTTACATGGCACAAGTGCGGCTCTCATAGTCCGTTATCTTACGGTGAAACTTGTGCCGCCTAAGCCGCTGAGGAGGTGAAGACCCCGGGAGAAAGCGGCATGGACAGATTTTATCGTACGGGAACTCTCGGAAAAGATCTATGATATGATCCAAGACTTCTGAACCAACCCAGCTCGAGGCAAGGGTGAGGCTGACTGACAAAAACATTTTTGGAGATATCAACGACTCCTGCGATGCACACAAGATCTATCTGGCTGACAACACGCTCATACACAGCATCGTCCAAGGCCATCATACCACTGGAAGCAATCGTTTAGTGCTTGGCATTCACCCCGGTTGCAATTATGTTATCTATGACACATCTCACAACCGCCATCGCAAAGATATCCAGGCCCCCAACCCTCAACACACTCAGCTTCTCCAACCACCAGGTCCAGAACACCGGGCAGGCCATAGCCGCCATACTATGAGGCTAAGCGAAGCTGGGCAACCAAAACACAACGACTGTCTCTCTGCGGCTGCCTGCTTTTGCGATGAAATTTGTAATCATTAGGGCAGAAGCAACGGCTCAGCGATGCCGAGCCAGCTTATGAAGGTATTCCAAGCGCTCTCGCTCAACACCGAACGATACAGCCATGAGGCCAGAAGGAGCGGAATATCCTAGATAGGACAGCGCACACATGGTGTTGTTGAGCTGCAACTTTCCCGAGCATTCTCAGAATCAAATAAGCCGGCCGCTCCTACCATTGCCGCTGTTTTTCACGTGAAGCCGCTTCGTTTGATAAGCGAATCAATCATGATGGCCAGGACTGGAGGATCATTGAAGCAGTTCTGGCGACTCTTCCGAGTGGACCACGTCGTCTGCTTCAACAGGTAGGCTTTCTGAGAGCCCCGAACAGCTCTCACTCCTTCTCACCTGTAACAAGAGAGCTTCTCATGAAACATGGGAACGCGTAAATATAGAGCCAAGCATTGTATACGCGGCGGAACGGGGCCTTATCAAGTATCAACAATAATACTCACCTATAATTATTCTCTCACTCGTTAGCGTAGCACATCAGATTTCTCGAAATCAAATTTCCCTTTCTCTTGGAGGGTATCAGCACGCAAGATGTAGGTTGTCGGCATGAAAAGTGAATATTTTTTCATCTCGCTTTTCTGCAGCCGCACAGCGTTGGGTGTGAGAGGCAACGGTGGCATGTTGTTGCGCCATTGGAGAACCAATGCAGACGGCTACCCGTGTAATAACATGTGATGGAGATGCCAGGTACCATGTAGCCTTGGCACTCGTTTACAAAATGCGAAGCCCATGTGTTTGATGTGTATGTATGTATGTTTAACTCGCCGTGCACGAGCTGACCAGGGCATCAGAAACCTGGATCAGTCAGGTCTGCCTTTTTGGGACGCCGTCCAGGAGCAAAGGTCCCCGTTTTGTGCCCGTTTGAGGCCCAAAGGTGGACTCTGAAGCCGTGATGGAGTCGTTCGGGATGATGCGCATTGGATCCCGGACTGGCACCCGGCTTGCCAAAAGCAGTAATGCACCCACTCCAGGACCTGGCAGCGAGATTGAGCTAGGCACTGGCGGCTGAAATCGGCGGCGGCCTGGGCGATGATCCTGG